TGTTTAACCAGGCAAATGCCACTGAGATCACATCTCTTTTTCAAGGGAGGCCTGGACATGTTTATTATTATTATTATTATTATTATTATTATTGACATGCAAACTCCACACACAGAAAGAACCCAAGTCTAAACTGGGGGCCGACCTCAGGACCTTCTTGCTGCGAGGCTAACCACCGATCCATTGTGCTGCCATTGATAATAAACTATAATCAAATATCAGTCTTTTAGCATAAAGAAGACAGCTGGTGACCATTCTTGGACATAGTAAAGCCATCTTAGAGTTTAGCCAGAAAATATTTATTTTCTAAGAACTTTAAATCTAAGCAATGTTAGTCATCTGTCCTCGTCTAATAACCAACAAGAAGTGACACCTTGTCTCTGCTCCTGCCTATCTTTCAGATCAATAAACGTGAGTGTTTCATATTATCTGACGCTGCTACATATTGTAAGAATAAGTGGACGTTCCCAGTGCGTTGGGCTGAGGGCAAACATTGCTGTTTAAGCACAAAAATAGCTATAATCTTTCTACAGTTGTTACAGGACAAAGCAGTTTAATATTAAACGAGAGAACAATTTGCTCAGAACGTAATGTTCCTTTGAAACAAATATTTGCAAAAAATAGATTGCTCACTGAAACATTGTGACTCATAAATGTAACAAACCACAGTAGCAATGACATCTTAATGTATTTCTATGTGAAAAGCACAAAGTATACAAAAGTACACCATGAATGAAAAAAAATGTGAAAACTGAATCAGCCTTCACACAATAAGTCTTATTCTTCCACGTGATCACTTCCTCTCGGCCCCAAATCCTCAAACTAAAACTTTCAATTTTTGTCTAAACTGAACCGAGGATAGTGTCTAATTCAAGCTGACCTTTTGATCTTTCATTTTAAAAAGTTTGTTGATGCTTGTTCACTCACCAGGTGAGCCATCAAAGTACAACATATTACAAACATGCAGTACACAAATGACATAAGAGTGATGCAGTGCAATGATACAGGTCATTACAACCTAGTTATTAGTTAAAGACCTAGTATTTCAAAAGGAATGCACATCATTTAGTGACAAACAATAACGGAGTTCTACGTGGTATTTCCTGCACAGTAACAGCATTTTAACACCTCTTATAAACACTGAAAAGTACTACTACGAATATGACTAAGTGTGAAATAAATAATGCAGAAATACTATTAAAAGTAAAGGTTTTACTCACTGTCGAGTTGTGATAAATAGCTGCTATCTTGAATTCTGAACTCTCTCACTTTCCAACAGGGAATCCCCACTGGAGGGGTGAGGTGTAAAAACCGGGTCTTCTCGGCTCTGCAAACTGTGTTGTTGCTCCTGAAGAGAGAAACTCTGAAACAGGCTGGTTGAACAGCAAGAATCTTTATTTTGCAGTCCAGGAGATTTACAGCCAAAAACCAAATTGTGGCCTTCTAAGCCAAATGAACCACCAGGTAAAAAGATGAAGACGAAGGCGAAGAGTAGGGGCGTACAAGCCTTTTTATAGGTTTCACAGTGCAGTCCAACAGATGCACCATAGATTTTGTCACGGTATGCCTTAAGCATTCCTTTCATAATATGGTAACATGTGCCGAGTTCTGAAGCTGGGGTCTAAGAGAGACATAGTACATCTGTGCATTCCTGAGAAGAGGCCCCCACTTTTAGACACTACAGGGGCATTTAGTTTAAATTTAGGACTTAAAAGTGGGAAATTCCCACTTCGCAACAACTGGGCTGCAGCAAGTAGCCTGCCAAAATGCAGGGAAATGGAAATTTTGTATGGCCTGCTGACGGTTACTTTTGAACTTGAGGCTGTCATTTCATTGGTAAAATAATCAACATGCATTATGGGAGATGTAGTTTATGCTCAATGCTAGTTTTAAAGCAGTACATGCTTTTTAAGCCTTACTGTCTTTGAATCTCTCGCAGGCCACATAAAATGCCACAGAGGGGCCACATTTGGCCCACAGGCCTTGATTTGACAAGTAATCTAAAAAAATGAAAGAAATACTTGTTTTTCATTTTCTTGGTGGAACAGTTTTTTGTATTACTTTGTGCATTTGCAAATGTAATGTCCAAACACTATGGATCCAGCTTTCTATGTTCAAACATGATCAATCCCTAAACTCCATATTATCACAGAACATGGTTTTTGGACCTGGTGCTGATAAGAGTCTGGATGATTTTTCCTTCTGTTTAATAGCACATTCTGTCCAGAGAGGACTGTGGTGTAACTTAGAAACATTTGACTAAGATGTTCCAAAGTTAATCGCTTACACAAGTGGTTTTATCAGTCACTAATAAATGACGCTTCTTGATGAATTGAGTCAGAGATGACCGTTATCCAACACTGAAACTGGACACTTCTCCTTTAACACGATGAAATTCCTCCAGATTGTTTGAATGGAGGAGAGGTTCAGGTGGAGCTGCTGCTGTTAAAACTGCAGGCGAATCTGCAGTTTCACTGTACGTCTGTTTGAACTTACAAATCAACAAAAAAGCAGTTTCTCATGCAAAATTATTTTCTCATTTTATCAATATTGTTAGTTTGTCACTTCACTGCTTACATGACCTGAAACTTCTCTTTTACAAAGATATCAGGTTGAGGAATTCCATGACTTTAGTGAGATAAATGTAAAACTGAAGGATGCAGTGGCACTTCTGCACAACTGAATGAATGATTCAGAAGGTGACTGGGTGTCCAAAGGTAACACGCACATCATGACTTTGAACACTTTGGTATTTATATCTGGAACATTCATTTCCTTTTTTCTTCTTCTCATTCGTCACCATGATTAATCATCTGCAAGTCTTAATTCAGCAGTTTTTTTTTCATGACGTGCTTTGGAAGAACCATTTATGGTTAAAAGTGGGCGTATTTAGGGAGACATTCAAACAATGTGGACTGTTTTTATAAATGATTGGATTGAATTTGTTATCTTGTATAAAGCTCTGGGAGGATTTTAGAGTGAAATGGTGATACATTCAACTGAAGTGACTGATTTAAAATTATTTAATCTCAATCCCACTGTGACAACCCAAACTGAAAGAAACTGTCTGTTCAAGACACTTGGAGGACAATGCTAGAAATGTCTGAAAACTGCAGCAAAAGCAACAGTCTGAAAAAATCCAGGGCAGTAACAAAAGCTTTTAAATTTCACTTTATTAAAGCAGAAAATTAATTGAAAGAACGACTGAACAGCATTTCAGCAGTCACTATGAACAGAAAATGTTTTGCTAGTGACACGCTGCATCCCAAATTTTATAGCTGCTGTAAGATAATTTTTACTTGAAACCATGTTAAAATGTAAGAGTCAGGTTTTTATTCATAAAACACCATTTATAGAAAAAAAGTACCCTTATTTAGATAAATGTACAAAACCTGAATGAGAACTTACAAAGTGAACAAGTTAAAAACAAAGTTCAGAGGTATAACATAACTGAGCTGGAACTGCATCATCTCACCTGGTGCAGAGAACTGTTGACATGACAGAACTAAAACATGAATCTATAGCCCCCGTTTGAAAGAAAATAACATTTTTTTTACGGTGCTGTCTTTGGTGCAGTTTTTAGTCAGCACAACGTAATACAGAACAGCACCTAAGCGATGCATGAAGAGTCCAACTTTAATGTCGCTGTTTCCCGTAGTTTCTCTCCCACAGAAACACCAGCTGGCTGCCTGCCTGCGGCTCCAGCTCCTGCATCACACAAAAACATTTATAATGAAAAAAATCCAAATCAATCTTGATTTGGATTTACAAAAGGAACAAATTCAGATTTAGTGAGCTGTGAAGTGAATCCCACTATGAACTGACAATGAAGACCATGAAACATCAGCGTGTACATTTTGTTGCTGTGAATCGTTTGTCATAGACTCCAGTTTGTCCACTCACACCTGTTGGATGTAAAATGTAACGAGTGGATTCACCTGTCCATCCCGGCTGATCTGCACCCTCTTACTGTCGTTCCACGGGTTGAGGATGTGTTGGGTGCAGTGGAAGGGAAGACTCTCTTTATGGATCCACTCGACACTGAAAACTCCTCCGAGCCCCATGAAGCCCCAGTCCTGACAGCTCTCCTGGCTCACAGCTGATGTCATACGAGCGTAGCCCTGAGAACAACACAACACACACATGATTAATGGCTTTGGGCTGAATTATTACTGTAAGATCTTTTCTAATTCCTTCTCCTTTCGACTGTTCCCTTGTCTCATGTTGCCACAGTGAGTCATCCTCCTCCATCTCACTCCAACATGTCCTCTAACTGCATCCATTCATCTCCTCCTTGGTCTTTCTTTGTTGTCCTGCTGCATTTCTAACATCCTTCTACCAAAATACTGACAGTCCCTCTGCTGCACATGTCCAAACCTTCTCAGTCTGCCTCTGTCTTTATCTCACAGTCAGTCAACCCGTGCTGTACCTCTGATGATCTCATTCCTAATCTTCTCAATCCTTTCAATTCCTCTCTCAAGGAGAGGAAATTTTGTCTCCAAAATGTCCTGATGTATCTCAGTTATCCAGAGAAACCAAAAAGAAACACTGGGCCTCATGCAAGAACCGTTCGTACGCACAAATTTGTTCTTAAGTTGTGCGTACGAGTGATTTAGGAGAATTTGTGGCATTCACCAATGTTTTCGTATTCTAWGARTTTTTTCAGATACGAACAAAATTCACGAGTGGTCCAGACCTGTCGTATATTTTACGAGCAGTCAGTCTGCTGTTATCCAGATGGGTTTTCTTCACTAATATCTTTATATTTCGTTAGTTTGAAGATATTTTGAGTTGAAAATAAATCACACTCCATAATTATGATGACAATAGGCTATTCTGCTTGAATTAGAGTTATAATTTTAAATGTAATAATTTAAACTAACAATATAAATTGTCCGTCCGGCCGGCTTATCCCCCATCAGGTGCGGGGGGCAGCAGGAGACCCCGCTCTCCCCAGCGACACCTTCCAGCTCGTTCTAGGGGACTCTGAGACGTTCCCAGGCCAGAGGGGATACATGATCAAGTCCTGGATTTTCTCCAAAGTGCCAGACTTATTTTGAAAACATTTTAAAATGCTTATTTCAAACCCGCATCTGAGACCACCTGTGACCGCGCAGCACGCAGGGGGAGGGGGGGAGGTGTACGGTGCGCAACGGTGTGGCTTCTGAATAAATGAAAATGATTTAACACAGWTGTTTATACTTTTAGCAGCTCTTTTTATTCCACAGCTGACCTGCTAAAAATGACAGATTTTCMTTTCTGGATCTCTGACAGACGGACTTCAATCTCTGAACTCGTAAAGTTCTTCTTTTTAATTTTCGCTGTCATTTTCATGAATGGACACTTCCTGATATCTGAGGTAGGAAACAAAGCCTTATATGGTGTTTTTGGGGTYGTAATTATGCTAATCTCCTCTGGCGTGCACGAGCAGCTGGATACGAACAAGTGGAATTTACGCAGCTTATTTACACACTTTTCCTGAAGATAGAAGAGTTTGTTGAATCTGACGTGACATGTTCGTACGAACCCTTCGTAAGAACAAAAGTAAGAGAAATTTAGGATAAGAATACGAACGTGTTCTTGCATGAGGCCCAATAAGTAGGTCCTCTGGACTGGTTGTTCTTTAATGAAACGTTTCGTCTCTCCTTCAGGTGAACTCAGCCTTATAAGCTCTGCCTCCACATGGTGGACAAACAGGTTGGTCACACACAAACTGGCTGCGCAGCGATTCAGACACAGTTATCCACTCTGTTCTGGCAGTGTGACCGTAATAAAATAATATTTCATTTTCATATAAACAAAACAGCTTAGCAGCTTTAAAAAAGTAAATATAAAGTCCATCTCAGCTGTGGTTCTGTTTATATATTTTTAATTATCTTACAATAATTACACACTGGCAATATTCCTAATTAATGTGATTGTGTTTTTTTGAACTCGTTCAGAGAGGGAAAATGTGAGAAATTACCTCTCCACTAGACACCACATTTGCACCTGTTATTTGCAACATGTCCATTTTTATCACATACTATTTTTGAATTTGACAAGCTAATTTGGAATCTGGATAAATCAGTCCCAATTACTGAATTCAGTGACAAAAACACACAGTATGCGTCTGCTTATTTGGTGCTACAATTAAGACTTTTACCATGTTGAAAAAGGCATAAAAGCATCACAGAAACACAACAGATTGCTCATTCAGGCATAATGCTGACCTGTTCAGGTGCTGTAAGAATGATTAAAACAGAAAACAAACAGGAAATGTCCATGAAGGATTATCTGAGACATGGTTACCTGGAAGTGTCCAGACCCCTGAACAGAGAAAACGAGGACGATGAGGCTACTTTCCAGGTAGGCCTTGGAGAGTTTGCTCTCATTGAGGGGTGTCGTAGACCAAATCCCTTTCTCCTGAGAAATCTCTATGTTTCTGATGTTGCTGCTCTTCATAACAAAGTATCGGACAGAAGAAAGAGCAGGCTGCAGGGAAACAGACTTTAGGGCCTGCAGGGAACAAGAGGACAATTAAACCAAACTATTAAAACTCCCCACACTTCCACTTCTTGTTATTGTATGATTCGATGAGGTGTTAACTAAAGTGACATGTCAGTAAATAATGTAACACGTCTGATCTTAGTAAACCTTAATCTGTACTGTCATGGAATTATACTTATAATTTACTAATTGAGGCCTGTAGAGCACATGTGTCAAACACAAGGCCCGCGGGCCAAATGTGGCCCGCAGGTGACTCCCGTGTGGCCCGCCAGGGGGGACCCCCCCCACCCCACCGAAAAAAAGAAACATTTTTTTAAACTTTATATGAAAATTGTTTCTTATATCAATGGTAAACTTTAAATTTATGGTTAAATGCAACAAAATTAATTTAATAAAAATAAATGAAATAAAAATAAATTAAAATAATTCCTGTCCCTGAGCTGTTGGCTTGAAGTAACAGAGCAGTTTAGTTGGATAGCACAGTATTAATGTCTGAAAATAAGCTGCTTTAAAGTCACCATCAAACATAAACTAAATCTGCCATAATGCAGCTACTCACTAGAAACTCATGAGTGAGTAAAACTTTTTTTGTTTTACTTTTAATAATATTTCTGTATTTATTACAGATTTAGTCAGTCGTACACTTAGTTCTTATCAGTGTTTAAAATAGGATGTGTTAAAACTCTGTTTAGTCAAAGTTAAACATGAAACATCAAAGTTCATTACAAGTGGCCCTTCGAGGGCCACCATAACTCATGTGGCCCTCGGTGAAAATGAGTTTGACATCCCTGCTGTAGAGTCTGAGGCTGAGTTTATTGATAGCATTGGACAATCTGTTGAGATGTTTACTTTTAGATGATTTAGTAACTTTGTGCTTTGTGTTGTCATTGTTAGTTAGCTTTATCTGAGTCAATATAGATTCTTCTTGAAACAATAGTACATTATTTACTCAGTCTATAAAAAAATGTAACTTTTGAAACAGATTTTTATACTTATTTAGCTTAGTTAGCATGTACAATTACTGTAAGTCTGAGCTAGTAAAACTAGTCATGCAAATATGGCAACAACTGTTAAATGTCTTCATTCACATATTATTTACTGCATGTCAATTCTACTATGGTCAAATAAAATGCTGAGCCCACTTCATGTAAGGTAAAGAATGAGATGTGTTTGAGTCTGAATGTGTGATGGTGTTAAATAAACAATACTTGGCCCAAAGTGAATACCTTTCCTAATGAGGAGGGACTGTGGGAGTCAGGGGGCTGCAGAGTCACCAAGCAGGAGGAGCTACTGGAGCAAGGAGACTTGTCAGAGAGCTGACTCGAGGCAACGGCTGCTTCATCTTTGCTTCTTTTTAGCTGGTCAGAGGACGCTCGACAAGACCTGTGGGAACGTAAAATAAAGAAGAGGTGTCACTGAAATGTAAGCAAATGTTAGAATTAGCAGTTAATTTAAACTCTCCAATGTTCAGTTCAGCTGTAAACACTTGTTATAGACCCTAAAAACTGAAACTGTTGTTGAAAGAAATGATGTAAACCTGATGAAAATATTGAAGTTCTATGAGTTGGTTGATTATAATATTTTACAGGTTATGCATAAGACTCACAAATGTATATTACGTTTAATATACATTTGTGAGTATATTAAAGGTAATATACATTTGTGAGTCTTATGCATAACCTGTAAAATATTACCTTTAATAAACCAATTAAATTTTGTTAAGAGAGAAAGTTGTTATGATCTGAAGGGGGTAGAGATGTTTGTGAAACCTGGATTTTGAAATAGTTTGAGGGAGTGGTGTACTTCGATATAAGGAATAAGACTGTGGAACAATCTGGAGCGTGATGTCAAAAATGCCAGATCAATGTTTATGTTTAAGAGAATGATAAAAGTCACTTTGTTAAAGAAACATGAAACAATTTAATATGTATTCATACAAAATGTTGTTCATTAAGGATTTGAGGATGCTTTTGTTTAGTTTTTCTTGTTTGTAGATTATTATTGTTTAAAAGTTTAATTTTGGGAAGAAAAAGGCGCAGATACTATAAGATTTTTTCTTCTTTCTGCCACCTTTCATTTTATTTGTGATTTGTATTTTTTTTGTATATACATTTATTTTATTATTTTTAAAGAAATGAATAAAGTTTGAAAAAAAAAAAAAAACCTGGACAGGAGCTAAAGAGTCCAAGTGATGTTTAATTTGAAGTGAAAATGATTGGAACATACTTGTCATTTGCAGTGTTGGTGGGAAGGTGGGGACTGGTCTTGAAGTTCCTCGTGGAGCTCCTCGGTCCGTCCTCTGAAGACATGGGCCTGGGCCGCTGACCAATCCCCATGGGCTGCTGCAGGCCAGCTTCTTGCTCCTCTGCTCCTAGTGCCTGTTTGAACCCAGGTTGAACTTTAGCCATTAATCAAAGTAAATCTATCCAAACAGAACGCTACAAACAAAAGACAAAAAGATCACATACAGACACTAAGGTCTGGATGATGGCCTCATCCTGTTGAGACCAGGGTTTGGAGGGACAACGGATCCTTTTTATGAACAAATTTTGCCACTTCTGTCTCAGCTCTGACACCAGTCCTGCAGCCTGACAACAAGAGAGCCAACATGAAATAGAAAACATCATTAAGACAGTTTAATTAAACACCGGTGTAATTTAAACACACCTACAAATCATGAAACACAGAAGATTTACAGTGATGGTCAAAAAAAGTTGGTAAATTCTTCAATAAAAACGTATAAAATTTAAAAGTTGGGCGTTGAATATTTCCACACCTGTTTTTCCAGCTGGAAGACAAGCCAGTCATCTAGCTTCATCTCCACCTGGTCCTCTGTGTCACTGTCACTCAGGTCATCCTCAGGACTGTCTGCAAGTGAGAAACCAGGTCAACATTTCAAAAGTTAAAAACCGTAAAATACTACGAAACATCTGAGAGAAACAGTATTGTTTCACATTTGAGAATGAAAAACAACATTATTCTGTAACGAAGAAAAAGATCAAACTTGAGCAGGAGGGTACAAAAGCAGTTTGTTGAATCAGAAATAAAAAGTGCAATCAAGCAGGAACTTGTTGCTCTAGAGGGAAAGCAGAACAACTCATTTCTCCAATCTAAAAACTGCTCTCTTCTCTAAGGATGTTAACATATTCCCATAATGGTGAAGCAAACATAAAAAGAACACATCAGAATGTTTATAACTCAGTGAGAAACAGGTGCGGCCCCCAACCAATACAGACCAGCAACATCCAGAGTCTTGAGGAACTCAGGACGGGTCTCATCCACCTCTGAGACCCTGCTGCTTTTTTAAATACCTTCAGCTCAGATTATAGACCGACCATCCCAAACAATGAATACTGTACCAATGGCATTGTACCGGTCCTTAAAGTATTCCTTCCTCCGCCTAACAGCATCAACTCCACTGTACAAAAAAGGCATTTGACTGTTTTCCCCGTGGTAGCTTAAGGTGGGTACTTCATGAGTATGGGATTAGGGGTCTATTGCTTTGACCATTCACTACATAAACAAACAATGAGAGTCTGGTTCCCAATGCTGGCAGGAAGTCAGACCCCACAGGGCTCTAGACTAACTTTTTGCACTGGTCGCACCGGTGCACCTAACATTTTTCCTTCGGTGCACCAGTACAAAAGTCAGGTGCACTAGGGCTGCACAATATTAGGAAAACCTGCGATGTGCGATAACAGTGCTAAATATCGCGATGATGATATGATTTGCGATAAATGAACAAATACATAAGCATGTAGTGTTGATGTCTTTCTGCTTTGCGTTCAAAGCCAAGAAAACAACCTAAAAAAACTAATAATTTCCATTCCAGCCTGAATTTTCTTTTTAAATATGAAGAGATCCATCCAGTTGACCAAATACATAAAGTGCTTCATTCGACTGGTGAAATACTTCAAGCTTTCATCTGAATGACAAAATGCATCGATGCAAACTTTTGAGTCAACCATTTATTGCAGTTTATGCAGTTGTTGCGATATGTATATTGCACAGTCTATTACTGCGATAACGATAAATTTTTGATATATTGTGCAGCCCTAAGGTGCACCCATATTTGAAAACATATCACATTTAACATTGACGTTTTAATGGTTCACTTTTTTAAAAATCATTGTCCATTAAGGCAATATTAACTCAAATAATTTGTTAACAATCCAGCAAAATAAAGTTCTATATTTGAGCCAGAATTGTAGACATATAACTTACTGAAAAGTAATTTTAAAGTGATTCTATGACTTGAAATTTGAACTTAAACATCAAGATAAATAAAATGAAAGAAATTCTACATTGTAAGTACAAATGTTTAAAAGCTGAACATTTTATAAACATCTTAAATATTTCATGGTTAAATGTCTTTTAGACACCTGCCCCTCAGAT